TGCAGAGCTAACGAAAGAATCCCCTATGTACCTGAGTAGGACGATCAAGAGAGCGTATAGAAAGGACGACACTTTTCGCGCCCAAACGTCAAGGCTTCGATGACTACTTTAATCCACAAAGTCGGAGGCCTTCTTACCAAATCGATGGAAGGGTAGACTGAGCGCAGTGCTCATCGTTAAATCTCATGAGCCTCGTAACCGGTGGATATGTCGCTCGTCGCTGCACCCTCTTCCGGAACTCCTGCTCTGCTGCGCCAAGGGCTGGTCCTTCCTCTAAGTATTCTGTCCTGATCCTGTTAAGGGATGACTCCGAAGTGACATAGCTTGTAGATTACAAGACGCAAGCAGAGTTGGGCGATAGTATGCTATTGTCGTTCAGGTCTCCCTCTGTTACAGCAACTCACCGCTCTGCTAGTTCACTAAGGCGTTGTACCCTTGCATTCCGACAGTAGAGCGCATGAAGATCAGAGCCAGCGTTTGTGTAGATAACGGCGTGCGGTCACCGTCGACTTCCGTTCACCCCTGCTCGACCCCCCAGGTCCTGTACAATTCGTACCGAGAAATTCATGATTTGGCCTGTCGGAACTTCGGCAAGAGGGAACTGAGGTGACTGACGCTATCCATGCTTCTTAATGCTTAGATAAGTAAGGCAGGTGACATGCTATCAAAAGAATCCGAGTAGATAGTCGTGACAACTGTTAACTCACTTGCCACTTTTGGGAATGCAGTAACTGTTGGCCATTCGACGTCGTAGGCAGATCATCTGGTCTTGTAGCTGGCAAAGCTTCGACGGGCATTGCGGATGCACTTCCTGGTTTTTCCTGCTTCAGCTAATACTGCTTCTCTTCGCTGCTTGAGATCTTCCTTTATCGCCTCTCTGCATTGCTTCGCAAGCTCGGACGTGAGCCTGTGATTGCCTGCAGCTCGTGCGTTCCCACGCTGGCGTATCAGTTCGCGAGTTTCCGGAGCTAGACGTCCTTGGTGACTTTCAAACTCTCTGCCTTCCTGCCACAATTGAAAAGATGTTCAACGAGCCGATAGTACTCCCCGACCATGTTTTCGATAACGGAATTCTCCCATAAGTTGACGAGTGAAGTGAAGTGGTCCCTGATGACTGTCCTAGGGCTTCGCTTCGTGAATTTCTTGGCTCTCTCAACACGCATCGAAAAGCGGATCTTAGCGCGGAGGAGACGATAGTCCGATCCCCTGTAGAACTTCGGAACAACAGCGACGTCGGTCAGGCAAAACCTCCGATCGCAGATGATGTGGTCTATGTCGTAATGGAACTCCCCATCAGGTGACTCCCACGCCCATCGAAGGTGACAAGCATCTGGAACTGTGAGTTACTATGGACGGTGTTGGTCGACATGATAAAGTCCGACGGTCTCTCACCCTGCTCATTCCATTCTAAACCGTGAGTACCGATGTGGTTCTTTTTTGGGCAATCTTAGCGTTGAAGTCGCTGACGATGACCTTGAAGAATGTATCGTCTTCCCTGTAGAACTTCTCCAATTCCACATAGAATACTTCGTGTTCTTCTTCGTCGCAGCTGGAGGTTGCTGCGTAGGTGACGAAGATTGTCAAGGCAGGAGTTGGACCACATTGTTCATCTCAAACATCCAATTCGGCCTTCGTTCGAATCGATGTTTGTGGCCTAGGGTTCAACGATGACCATGACAACGCAAATGAATTGAATGATATGATGTGCATTAGACTGGATCTAGAAATCTAGATTAGATTATCACCAATTTATCACCGGTTGATGAACAAAATAATGAGGTAATGAGCGAACGCTACAACCATGCATCGTTGCTGGTGACTTCAGCCTGCTCGGCTCGGCCAATTCACATGGAAGACATTTTGCACTCGTGTTCTGGCGCCTCTTGCCAGAACTGATCAGATGTTATCAATTTCGTTCCCTTACCGAACACGTTCCAGTCTCACCTGTATATCACTTGTTGGAGTCAACGCCTTACTACTGCGAAGACACCCTCTGTATTATATGAGACACTTGCTTTCTAACCCTTCCCTCAGTTCAATAAGCTGTTACTAGTCTCTGTGCCCCACCAAATATCTTCCCGTTGCCTTTCAATGGTTCTTACCAGTAATTATCACTTGCTCCAGTTTCTGTCCTCCATCAAATATGTACCGTCCCATCCCTTACATCATTAAGGTCAAAGCGCTTTACTGCTGCGGCGAGCGCGCTGGTTTTGGTGACAATTAGGCGCGCATACATACACATACACGCACAGACATACTTACTTGTTAGCGAATTATATAAGGTAGCATCACTTGAAGTGACGTGATCAACATGAGCCACGAATCGAGATTAGGTCTCAAGTAGGGCCAAGGACACGTTGAGCAATCCTCGGCAATTTTACAGGTGAAGGGGTCGTCTTTGGCCCACTGACCCCTCAGTCGGGCCGGCATTCAACCTGACATTCCCCCACATTTAGATACTGAACTCTTGCAACGCCGAAGCGACATCGCAGGCTGTGGCGCGGCGACCTAGCCACTGCCACGATTGAATCGTCCACCTCGGTTCGCATAAGGTAATATCTAGAGTCATTATGATATTCAGCCAGGCGGTGTAGTGGATAGCTTTCTTGCTTCATAAGCGCAAGGTTGCGTGTTCGGACCTTCGAACACAGGCAATTCTTTGCAAATCCCCATGGCTCCTCATACGAGCAAGAAAGTGTACATACTTGATTACTTCATTGATTTTTGTCCCCACTCGACACATGGAAGAGGCAGTTTCTGGAATTTCCTTGAGGTGCTTCTTTTTTCGTTTTCATTATGATGAACTTCGAAATACAGTATAAAAACAAAAACAGGTTCATGAATGCAAAATCTCAACAGATTACGAGCACTTGTGATAGCCCCTACAGACTAATAGTATAAACAAAGCAGCTTTGCGCAGTATGCATAGCGAATAAAGAAAGGTTCTAGGAGAAGAGAAGGGCGTCACAGTGAAAAAGCAGTGAGACGAGTCATTCGTAACTTTTCGCTGAGAATCGTTCCGCAGATATCGAAAACGGACTTGTGCTCAGCGTCACAAAGCGCGTGCCTACACATCATTACAAATGGCCGAACTGACGAATCCTCTTGAGGCAAACGCGGTGATTTAATTGAGTATATCACGTATATTGTCCGTCTTCGGTGAAAAAAGCTATTTCCAGCCGAAAGTAAAGCGCCGAAATGCGGCAATCATTTTGGAATCTTTTGAGATTAAGCCTTCTGAAGATTTTTGACAGACGCCGATACTCACCACTATAGGGCGCAAGGGTGTAGTGGCAAGTGGCACGCTTACCACGCGAGCAATTCGGAGATCAAATCGTGGTTCGTGAGTCGCCAGGGCCAACCAAGCCCTCCACCCCTCCTGGGTCGGCTAATTGGCACCAGACTTGTCTTGGAGGCAAAAAACACTGACTTGTACATCGGCTGGCCCCCGCAAGTCATTGTATAGGCCACACCGCATTCAAACACCACCACAAATATTTAAATGGAAGTAGAATGCGTGCCGCATCTCAAAAAAGGGATTGATCAATGGCACATGTTTTATCCTTATCCTTTGAAGATTTTTCAAATCAATTTTTGGAGCCTCCAACTGTTGCTCAACATACAAAGACAGAATGTTCAAAGCAGTGTTCCCAATTTATAACGCGAAAGTTATCCGCTGCAATAATCCGAAGACGAATGGTATGGTCACAACGAACGACCTTTCTCCAAGGGGCTGAGCGGCATCAGCTTCATTCCTAGAGGAGGTGATTTCAAGCCACCTGTTGATTGTGACGGCTATATTATAGATCAGAGGTTTACTAACAACCGGGTTTAAAAGTCCAAATAAGATGAATGGGAGTGTTCTGCGATCTGAGCACCAGGGACAGTAGTAAAGTGCCATAGACTGGAAGTTAAAGGTGGTGAACTACGGCCGTAAACGGTGATCAATGAAAGGCGAGACAGCCAGATGACCCCGCTCTGAATGGCAAACTTCACTACATTCCTAGCAAAAGTCGCGTCCCCATGAACTTGAACCATGTAACGCAGCGCCCATGAACGCGACGTTTGCCACTGGACTACAAAGCATTGCAGGGTTGCATTGAAAGAATTGTAGAAAGCAAGGTAGTAACCTATGAGGGTTGCAAAACATCTAGAACCATGGAGAATTGATCTCGCGAGCGATCCAATGTCAACAAGGAACGAACCTACTGCGCCAATCGACATGTGTGGAATTTGGGATCCTGGCCTAGATAACTGTACAGGAAAGAAATGCTCCGAGGACGAAGGAAGGAGCTACGATCAATAAGTGGAGCACTGCAGATGACAGCAGATCACCTTATTGGTAGAAAGTTATCAATATTATCGATAGCTCCAGTGGCTTTCTTGCTGCCCACACCCAACGCCTTACACGAACCCCTTTCTTCCCTGCGCTCTGCGCATGGCAGTGACACAGAGACGCTCAATGCGACCAATGCATGATGTGCAGAGAAAGGGGAAAGTGCATGGGGATAGGAGAGACGCAGATAGACGGTGACTAAAATGTGCTCAGGGGTACATTTTAGTCGCCCTCTACATGACCCTCTGCGTCTCTGCAATCTCCACACACTTTCCCTTTTCTCTGCCGAGTTAGCCGTCTAGGCAAGGTGCCACGTTATACGTTGGCCACTCAAAATGTTGCACAGATCTCGCCCATTGCGGCAGGTCAGCGCGAGTTTCCCGCCTTTCCCTATGCTTTTTAGGTGCGGCCGAAGGCGAGGTCTACGTGACCTATTGGCCAACTATAGACTGGCTATTTAGGAGACTTTACTACCGTCCCAGGCAATTTTAGATATTACAGTTGGCTATATGCCAAGTAGGCTAAGAAGCTAAGATATTATAACTGTATCTTACTGTGTGTACTGCTTTCCTTTTTTGCCGACCATGTATAAGGAAGACATACGTGTGCAATGAAATGGTATATTCTTCCTCCTCAATATTGTCAATATTTTGCGTTACTTCAGGCTGGAAAAGAGTAAGTACGGAATTGATGTAAGATCGACCGAGTGAAGTAGTGGTGCCGTTTGGGCTGGAGCAAAATTATGGCAGCACAAGTAAAACAGGAGTTAGGGAGCTATCATTTTCTCAACACTCGACAAGGCAACCAACCTTCTCATCGAGTAGACGTGGAAGTGCCATTTGCGACTCTTTGGTGGGTTTTTTTATGGGTGGGGGGAGGGCGCATTCAGGTAACTTAGTCCGAAGAGGGTAGGAAACTGGTAGAGGGAGCCTGTCTTATCAAATTTTGGCGAAAACGAAGGAAGCGCAGAGACGACAAAATTGATTATTCCTGCTGCTTTAGTGGTAGTAGAATACCCCATCCTACTTCACGGCCGTAATGAAAAGAAAGGCTAGATGGAGTTGGGTGTTTTGACTGCTACCACAATCCGTTTATAGAATCAGCTCTAGCGGTGAGGATGGTATTCGATGGAGAGGGGGAGGGAAGTTGAAAGGCGGGCGCATGAAAGGACCTCTCATCGGGCTGTCGCGGAATCAGCTAGTCCAAATCTACAAGATGAGGGAAGTAAAACTTAATTCGTAGAACGGTTCGGCTCCGTCTCCTCACATTCTACCAAGCTCTACTGCCACGATTGATCTATCGCATCTAATTCTGCCAGCACGCTCAGTTTTATTTGAAGACATTTCTCCACATGTCAGTGAGAATTAGGGAAGGTGCCTTTCTTAGGCACTTAGAGTTAAAATTGAAATTTCCTGGTCTCGCAGAAACCAGCGAGTTGTCCAATGTTATCGTTTTCATGAAGAAAGTGAATAGCGATCGAATTATCACAACAGAGGACGAGGACTCGCGCCTCCGCGCTTTAGCAGCTTTCTAATACAAATGATCCTGGTGACTGTATTGATATGTATGTGTTGCCAGGATGAGGTATTTCCCATCAGTGAGTTGTGAAAACATCGAAAAAGTCAGCGACTTCCTGGTGAAGCCACACCAATACAGTCTAAACATGTTCTGTGAATGAGTCCTTTTATTCCTAACACAGAACCAAGAGAAGAAAAACTTGTTGAACGCTTAACCGTTGTATTGTTGGATTTGCTGAATAATGGTAAGCGTCCATCGAAGATAAACTCAGAAAATCCCTCCGTAGGTACCTTTCATTCCTAATGACCACTAACAGCAAGAAAACATTTCAATCGGAAGACTATCTGAACTTAATGCAAATTATGGATATTTACAGCTTTGTGATAATCAGTAGAAATCGACTATTTCGACTTTGATTATATCTTGTTCAACGCACAATTTTAGAATGTAGAACAATACTTTGCTACTTACTAATCGCACTCAAACGATAAGTTCAGAGGCTAAAAAAATGATCACACTGCCCCAATGCACCTCTCAACCAGAGTCAACCCTGCGTTGCGCAGTTCGCAACGGCAAGTTGAGAGATCCTCAACGCACGCTGTATGGGCGGAGAAGCAGACGGCTCGAGCGTGCGAGTGTGAATGTTCGCGCGAGAGAACGTGTCTAATCGGGGAAACTGCGCAACGCAGGGTGCTAAACTGGTCTCAACAAATTTTGTTTGCACCCAAACATTTGAACTGTATCAACTTCATGTTCACCTTAAACTACTTTGAAACTACTGTATTAGAGCTTTTAAAAACTACTTAGTAGATTATCCAAAAATAGCTTTGTTGATCTTTTTTTAGGGGGATGTATGTGGTTTGATTTTTGGAAGCATGGAAGTTTTTTGCGTCAAATGTTGATAATTCTGTCAGAATCTACTTCCTGCAGATCTCTAAGGCTTAAAATAACTACATACATACTAGATTAGATCATTTGGAAGTTTTCCACTTTGTTGAAATTCACTCTTGTGAAAAGCAAAAATAGTGTCGTTATTCCTACTTCGTAATTTTTTTCAGTTTATTCACCGGAAATGCAAGTTTTCGACCTGCAGCCTCTCACATGTTTGCCCATAACTGAAGGGAGGCAGTGAAAATCGTGGAAAACCACACCATAAGTGCTCAAATTTGATAATTTTTTGTTTTATTTTTGGCTCTTTCACTGAGGGCCCTCTCTCACTGAGCCGGTTAGTGGCGAGGCTACGTGGCGCGACCCCAGGTGGCGGATAGGGGGTAAATCGTGGACCAAAGCCACCATGTACTTGCCCTGAGACGCAGGTGGATTCAGGGAATGGATTCCGCTGCTCTGAAGTGCTGCGTCATACCAGCTGTCTCCACTCAGGCCTGTCCATGCGTGGTTGCATGTCTGCGCTCTGTGTGTGCGATTGGTATCCTGCATGTCAGCACAGCCTAAAGCTTGCATTCAAGTGACTGGGAAGTACATGGAAGGCGATTCGGGGCCGCCTCCAAAACTAAGCCCCTTGTTCCGCTCCAGGATAGAGTGGCTAACTACCTAGGGGTCAATCCTAGCCCACACGATAGAACCTGGCAAGCCTCTCGTGTGCCTTCAATATGCCGAAAACAGTAACATAAATGGGCCTCATTCTCCTGAACCCGAGGGAGCACACATTACGGCAGCGTTGGGTAGGACCGCTCAGGTTGCTAGAATCTCAGAGCGGATAGGCTGTTTAACCGAAGAAGGACTAAAACGGAGTCCTGTATTTTCAACGCAAGGACACTCGCATCTGAGGCTCACTTTGTCCAGAAGATGCAAGCCAGGAAGATCAATTACGACGTCATAGGGCTGACCGAGACGAGAAGGTTGGCAGTGTGGGTGTCTTCCTCAACACGCACTTGGCCATAAACATCGATTTGTACGAAGGGCTCACGACCCGAATCGGACGTTCGAGATTGAGAAGAAGTGGTCCAACTCCTGCTTTGACAATCTTCGTCGCCTACGTTCCAGCATCCAGCTACGACGAAGAAGAACACGAAGCATTCTATATGGAACTGGGGAAGTTTTACAGGGAAGATCATACATTCTTCAAGGTAATCGTCGGCGACGTCAACGCTAAGACTGGAAGACTGACCCAAGAAGAGCGACTGAAAACGTCACATCGGTACTCACAGAATGGAATGGAATGGGCAGAATGAGAGATTGTCGGAGTTCATCATGTTGACCAACACCATCCATGGTATGTAGCTCACAGTTCCAAAAGCCTACTCACCTTCGTTAGACTTGGAAGTCACCTGATGGACAGTCTCATAACGAAATAGACCGCATCATCTTCAATCGAAGGCTTTGCCTGACCGAAGTTGCTGTTGTTCCAAAATTCTACACGGGATCGGACATCGTCTGCTCCACTTCTCGATGAGTGTTGAGAGAGAAGCAAAGTTCAGGATGCGAAGCCCCAGGGCCGTCATTAGCTGGGACCACTTCACTTCTCTCGTCAACTTGTGGGAGGGTTCCCTCACCGAAAACTTCGACGAGGAGTACTATCGGCTCGTTGACCATCTTCACTATAGTGGCAGGAAGGCAGAGATTTTGAAAGTCATCAAGGGCCGTCTGCTCCGGAAACTCTCGAACTGATAAAGTGAAGTCGCACAAGCTGCAAGTAATCACCAGCTCACCTTCGGGCTTGCGAAGCTATGCAGAGAGGCGATAAAGGAGGAACTCAAGAAGCGAAGAACAGCTGTTCTAACTAAAGCAGCAGAGACTGGGAGGAGCATCCGCAATGCCCGCCGAAGCTTCGCCAGCTACAAGACGAAGATGACCTGACTCCGACGTCCGGATGGAACAGTCACTGCATTTCGAAGGACAATGGAGAAAGTCACCCACGACTTCTACTCGAATCCCTTCGATAGCCATGTCCATCTGCCCACTTATCAACTGCAACAGAATGGATACGTCGTCCCCTCAGTACACGCCATCAAGTCGCTGAAGAATGGTACAGCACTCGGTCTCGACAGGGACAAACAGAGATCTGAAGAATGCACCGCCAGTTATCACCAAAACTCTGGCTCGAATCTTCACGCCCTACCTGTCGGAATGCAAGGCACCCACTCCGTTGAAAGCAGTCGGACTGTATTGCTGTACGAGAGGACTTAGACAACATTAGAAACTATCGCTCAATCTACCTGGTGTCTGTAATGTACAAGCTATTTACTCGAGTCATCCTTAACAGGTTTGGCAGAATATAGATGAAGGACACCCATGCGAGCAAGCAGGGTTTCGAAAACGGTTCAGCCCGATCGACCAAATTCACACGATTACAAGACTCATTGAAGATTCAAGACTAGTGCGAGGTGCAGTTTTGTCTTACCTTTATCGACTTGGAGCAGGCCTTCTACTCAGTGGAGACAGAATTAATCATCGGAGCCTTGAGTAACCAGGGCATCCCTACTCAGTACATAGATTTTCTTCGTGAGCAACTTTGAATCCCACCATTCTACAAGGAAGTCGTCATTGACGTCAAGAGAGGGGTTCGACAGAGCGACACCATCTCGCTCAAACTCTTCAGCGCCGCTCTCAAAAACACCATGCGCCAGTTGGAATGGGAATACATGAGAGTGAAGGTCGACGGCCGGCAACTACACCACTTTCGTTTTGCTGTCGACATCGTTCTCATAACGCCGAATATTGAGCAAGCGGAACAAATGTGGCTGATTTCGACTGCGCCTGTGGTAAGGTCGATCTGCAGCTGGACCTAACAAAGACGATGTTCATGAGAAACGGACTGCCTCGTGATGATGTCACGCTCAACGGAACGAACTTCTCCAAATGCTCCAGGTACGTGTACCTAGGTCGGAAAATCAACATGATGAACAACTTAGCTCTAGAGCTGAGTAGATGGGGAGTTAAGAACATCGAGCGAGCAGTGAAGAAACGAAGAACATATGACTTCATGCAAGCCTCTTCAATTCCTCATTCGTTCCTGCCTCAACCTACGCTTCAGAGACTTGGATCTTGCGCAGGCATTACGAGCATGCAGTCAGCGTTTCCAAAACGTTTCGAGAGGGCGATGCTTGGAGTAATCCTATACACGCAAGTGCAGAGGGGGATTCGGAGTTCCGGACTACTTCAACGATCGAAGGTCAGGGATGCTGGACAAGTTCAATTCTGCGATGACCGTTGG